ACATTTCTTTCTGTTATAATTTCTTGTTGCATCTTTCCTTTCTTTTTGATAATGTCAAAGGGGGAGAAGGATGTAATAGCACTTTATGGTTGTTTGTTTTCATTTACAGAGCAAGCTTTCAAACCTTTTTCTCCATAGGGGGAGAAATCTTCTCAGGGGGAGAAAACACATTTTGCTCAAATTCTGATCAACACATAAAGGAAATGGTTTGTCATCATCAAAAAGGGGGAGAATGTAATCTCAAGCCTCAACTCAACTTTATTTTTGATGAAAGACAAACAAGCTAGTTTGATGAAAGACAAACAAGCATTATGGAAAGAAGGAAAAGAAGTGGAAATTAACTTAAAGCATCATTCACTCAAAGCTTCAAGGATATTGGCAAGAAATCAAGTATATCAATTCTCAATTAAACTACATTGATTAGAAATGCTCAAAATATGATATACACACTTGCCACATCACTTCAATTATATTTCAAAACAATTTTTAAGTTTTTCTCTGCTGTAAATCGATTAACATCTTGTGTAAATCGATTTACACATGCTTTTTCAAAAAACTGTTTGCTCCTGCCAGCAATCGATTTACAGGTTGTGTAAATCGATTGATCACAGAATAAACTGATTCTTTAACTCTTGTAAATCGATTGACACAACATGCTAATCGATTTACACTTCAATTTTTTTGAAATTCTGAACGTTACAAACACGTGCAATCGATTTGCATCTTATGTTAATCGATTTGCACATTGAAAATTTTTAAAAATCTGAACTGGTTTCAAGATATCCTTCACACCTTTTCTCAAATAGTTGCATGATCAAACATTGCATCTTGTCAAGTTTTTCAAACAGAAAAGTGTCCTTTTGGAAAGGTATCTTGATTACTATATATTACAAAATCTTTCAAATCATAAACAACTTCTTCTCTTATGCAATAAAATCTGAACTTTGTAAAATATTCAAACTTCATATTTCTTAACTTTTAAGAACAAAGATTTTCTGCACTTTCACACATATAAAGAACAAAAATCTTTGAGCATTATCTAACCATTGTGTTACAGTTTGAATTGCTTACAAGAGAAGAAAGAAGAAACTTCAAAGAAGTCACTCTATGTGATCAACATCTTTCAAGAAATCATACTTCATAAAAACATACAAAGTGTAACTTATTTCCAGGATTGTTGGAATTAAGTATTAGATTACTTTTGTTCCTTGTTGTCCATTATTAGAAACAAGAGGTATCTTTTGAGAGGATTGTTCTCATTAGACTTATTGGAAATCCAAGAGGGTGTTCTTGGTTATTTGTTAGGTTCTTTAGTGGATAAGACTAGGAAGAGTCTTGTAAAAGTTCTAACAATATAGTAAAATCTCGTGTGTGTTTGCAAGGGGACTGGACGTACTTCTGGGGTGTGGAAGGAACCAGGATAATTCTCCGTGTCTCTTTACTTTCTGCACTTTACAGTTTTCAAAGCACTAAATCAAAACCAGAAAGTATAAAATAAGTCAAAAATCGACCACCACCTAATTCACCCCCCCTCTTAGGCGCAATCTTAATCTTACAGGGGGTGTATGCCAGTCTTGGGAAGGTTGGGCTTAACAGTTCTCGTGGGCAGGCCCAATGTTTGACAAATTTGTTTTAGGGTTTGGTTGGTTTGTTTCAGAACAAGGGTCCGTGTTGTACGAACGTCACCTTCACCTTCTTCTTCGTTGTCCTCTTCACTTTCTCAAGCCAAGCTTTCTGAACGAACCTCCATGCCTCAACTGCTAGAGCGCCACCTCCACTTCCCTCTCTCCATGGTCATGCAAGATGGTGATGAGAAAAGGTTTGATTTCTGTTTTATGCGTTTTTAGGTTTTCAAGTTTTATATGTTATTGATTTTGTTTTGACAAGTTCTGACCTTTATGTTATTTGATATTGTGTGAGGTGTTAGATAGAAGAGAGGAGTTACTACCTTTGGAGAGGAGACGGAGGAGGACGGCGGCGCGTCTCAGGTGGCCGGAGGCGGAGGGACTGGTGATGCTAGCTTTGTGGCCTTCCTGGTATTTTTGTATCTCCGTTTAGTGATGATGCTACAATCTGAAAACGCTTATATTATTTGCTTCACTATCTTCTTCTCTTGGTCTTTTTATCAATGATGATATTATGATTCTGAGATTGTTGCTTGCTATTACTTCGCTTCTGACTTCTGATGAACTTTGTTGTTCTTTTACAATGATGATGATTTCGAACCTGAGTTGTTTGCCCTTTTTGCTTCTGAGTAGCTTTTCCTCTCTTGATGCTATGTTGGCTTTTTACTCAATGATGATTATTTCTGAGAATGACTTTTGCTTCAGTTGTTGTTTGGCTTTGGCTTTGTTGTGATATTTGGTTTTGGCTTCTCGTTTGTGTTATGTAATAGGCAGGCTGTTTGTTGTTTTCTTAGGATCCAAGCTTGGAACAAGCTTCAATGTTTTAGCAGGTTGCAAGGCTTGAGGTTTACAGTTTTTTGTGATATCTTCTTCTGTATGTATTCTGCCCCCCTCTGACAGTGTTCTGATTTTGTTATATTTATCTTTAGGCCTGCCTGGAAAACTGTAAGCCTGCTACTTATCCCTCTTTTTCTCTCTCCACAGAAAGCACATCTTTGCTTAGAATATCTCTCTTTTTTCTGAAAAGACTTTGGCCTTGAAAATGATGGATAAAAATGTATTCTTCACAAGCTTGCTTGCATTTGTCTTTCCTCTGCATACCTCCAGATTTTTTGCCTTGCTTTTGTGTACTTGTTGACCACTTTTTGACAGTTTACAGCTTGGTTGACATTGTTTTGTTGACAGCTTTGTATTTGTGACTTAGTTTGCCTCTTTGACAATTTGGTTTGCTTCTTTGGACAGTTTTGACAGTTTAGTTGGCATTTTGGAAGTGGACAACTTGCTTTTCAGTTTGAACTTTGTAATTGTTTGGCATATGCAGTTTGTTTGGCATTTGCATTTTGTAATTTAGCTTTGTGCATTTTGCAAAATAATTCATATGCTTGTAAAACATTGCTTTCCTCTTTGTGAACCAAGAAGAAACATCTTCTTGCGATTTGCAGAGAGGACGAATAAACTGATTCCGGCCAAAATCTTTAATGATGAGTTTTTATGATTAACTGTCTGAAAATGCTTTTTATTTTTATTTATCTGTGTTGACTTTTTTCTTTTTTGTCTTTGCAGATAAGAATCAGTTGAGCAAATGATGCAATTAGTAGAAGATGAAGATTTCCAGAGATTTAGGATATAGTTTCAATTTATTTTTAATCATTGTAATAATATTATTGTAAACAATTGTAAATAAATTTACAGTGTTCAAATAATATTTGTAACAAACAATTAAAAATGAATAAAAAATTTCTTTGTCAAATATCTCTTTTAATTCTTCTGCCATTGCTTATTTAATTATTTAAATTTCTTAAGTCATAATAATTGGATGTTTTTCCCAATAATCTTAACTTTAGAAACTATAAATAATCAATAAACACTGTAGTCTTGCAACTTCGCATTAATCAATAATAAACCCGGCGTTCCAATTAAACATAAGCAATGCACAGTTAATCAAACAAACGTCCACATGCCTTTCCTTCTACTGATTAAACCAAACACTGCAAATTTCCAACCAGAAGCCTCAACTTCTAATCCAGAGGTTCAGGTTTTGATAAACAAAATGAAATCAGGCGTCAAAGCAGTGTGACAGCCAATTAAGACACTGTGGATTCTAATTCTTCTGAGAATGCGCGTGCAAACCCTAATTCTTGATTTAAGGTTAAAGAAGCGTCTGCTTGATCAAACCTTGAGCCAAACTCAAACAAATCAAAAGAAACCCTAATTTTGTCTGACTGATTCAAAATCAATGAAAAACCCTAATTTTGTCTGACTGATGAGAAAAGTCTGTTTGACCGATTCTTAAACCAATCTGAAAAATCAGGAAAAGCCTGAAGCTGTGATTTCTTGTGAAAAAGAGAGAGGGCAAATTTTGGGGGTACAACAGTGGTTGCTGGTGCTTGCATGCATGTGAAGTGTCACTCTTGCAGGCTAGGTGGCAACCTATGGGGTTACATATATGCATGCATGTACAAAAAATGAAAGGTGTCACTCTTGCAGGCTAGGTGGCAGCCTAAGGATGTATCACGATTGGACATTAAGGGAGACGCCATTGGACTTGGCGAAAGAGTACAAAAATGAATGGTGTCGCCATCCCAATTGACGAATAAGGTGTCCTTTGTTGCAGGCTAGACTCAGGCTACGTGACAGCCTTTGGGATGCCTTGCTTGAATGCATGTAACCCCATTGGAGGTGATGGGAGGAGACTTACAACATACAGTATAAGATTACTTATTAATAAAAGAACATATTTATGCATCCCGTCAAAATTACAATTTATATATTTTTCACAAACTAAATAACAATTGATTGTAACCCCACAAAATATTAAATAAATCTAACATGGTCCACCTTTCACTTATGCTACACATAGTGAGAACACTATTATTGAATTTGCTTCCTTGTTGGAATATTTAAGGCTTTAATTGACTTTTAGTGAAAACATGTATTTACGTATTGCTATTCTTTTTCCTCTACAAGCATCTAAGATTTTTCAGAGTCAAATATAAACAAATACGACTATTCAATTTTTTTTAAAATTATAATTGAAAATGATTGACGTAAAATATTAAATTTAAATGATGATTAGTTTCATATCAACTATAAATTAATAAAATGTTGAATATATAAAAAAAAAAAGTTGATTTGTATACCTAATATATTAAATATGTTAATATGATATTTTTTGTATTTATTTATTTTAAAAATAATTTAAATTTTAAATTAATAAACAAGATTTTGATTAATAAAATACCAGGATTACAAGGCTCTATAAGAAGACAAACTAAAGAAAAGAACAAAAACATACGAGTCCTTTCATATATGTATGTTATTGTTTTTTGGTGCTATAAATATGAGACATAAGTTTTACTAGTGTTGCAAAGAAACATGGCTTTAAAGGTTGAGACAATCCTTCTTGTCATCGTTTTCGGTATATCTTTGAACTCATCTATTATCTTCTTCCTTTCAACTAAATGTTTTGGTTTCTCTTTGTTTCTTACACTTAATTAAACTTAAGATTTATGATTAATTATACATAAAACTTTTTTTTCTAAGTAGTTTAGTGTCTTGAATTTCATCTTTTAAAATAAATATGTAAGACATTATAGATTCAAGATTCGAACTCACGCCTCCTGCGATCTACACGCCTTATTTGATCGTAGTATTTATTTTGCAAGTTTCTAAGTAGACTATGAATTATACCTTAATTTGACACAAATGATAAGTACTTCATTTATTCAATACATACATAATCAAGATGAAACCTAAACTTTGGTGAGATTACTTATTTGAGTTTTATTTTCTTTCTTTAACTAAAAAGTAAATTGATAAATTTATAAAATATAACTTAGTTGTTTATGATTCAGGTGCAATTCTTTTGGAAGGCAATCTGAAAATTGTTGAAGCTTGCCCCCAATTTTGTGACGATTCAGCTGCATACATGATTTGTCCTTCTTCAGGAAATCAACACCTCAGTCCACCATGCAACTGTTGTTTTGCATCGACTGGTTGTACAATTTACAAAGCCGATGGAACTTCTCTTTGTACTAAGAATTGAAATATATATGGATGTCATGTGAATGTTTATTCACATACAAAAAGACCACTCTTCTAAATTTCAATAAATATGATGTAATATGTATGGTTAAAAAGTTATAATAAGTTGTAATATAACAAATACAACACTTATAAGGTTAAATTTCATATATTTTCAATCAAAATTAAATTTTAAAAAGAAACTTCTATGTGTTTAAATGGTGGCGTTGTGAACTTAAAAAGTTCAAAGTAAGACATAATTGTTAATTCTAAAATCGAGATAGAGTATATTGTTGTCTCAAATGCAACAAAGGAAGATGTTTGGATCAAGAAGTTTATTAGTGAACTTGACACATTCCCTATCATTGTGGATCCCATTAATCTTTATTGTGATAACAATGGTGTTACCGTACAAGCTAAGGAGCCTACATCTCACCAACAATCCAAACACATACTTAGGCGTTATCACTTCATTTGAGAGATAATAGATAAGGGAGATGTGAAGATATACATAATAATTGTAGCGGTGAAAGTTTGAGACCAAAACTATTGATTGGCTTGAAGGTTAGTTATTCTATAGGAACCTTTTGAAATATCTGGTTTTTTTTTAGTTAAAATCGGCTTGTTTGCAAAAGAGTGTTGGAGAAGGGAGATAAAGAAAGGTGAGAGCGCACAATTGAAAGGAAAATAAGAAGGTTTGGTTGTGTTTTTGTCAGAAGAGAGAATCGATAAAGAGAGAAGATGGAGTATGATTTAAGCGAGTAAGAAGAAGAAGAAATTTTGGAACGATAAAGAGAGTGAAAGATTCACGTGAGTAGAAAGAGAGAGGCACGATTAAGATGAGAGTTTTTTTAGCATTTAATTTTCTTTTTGTTTCCAATAAAAACTACTTAAAAATAAATGTTGGACCATTTCCAAAGATAGTGCAGCCGTTCCAGTTATTAGATCTAGGGTTTTCTCACACAAACGATTTCGTTGGGCCTCACCCAACTAACCCGACCCATTTGCATTTTTTTAAGTTGATAATTTCTTAATGCACCCTATGTGTTTCTTAGGCATCAGCGTGAATTTATAAAAATGCCCCCAAGAACCAAAAATGTATCTCCAGTGCGCACCCTATTATATGAAAAAACATATAAATCGGAAGTACACTTACGGTTCCCAAACCGATGTTGTATTTTCGGTTACACTCTAAAGAAAATTAAGAAAAACACTGTAAGTATCCACGCCCTATTATGTTGATACAAACCGGAAATGCAACAATGATTCTAAACCGTAAGTGTATTTTCGATTTGTATTTTGACATATACGCATACTACCTCTTCCCCTTTCTCATTTGCTTCAAACAGAAACAAAACACAAAAACCAAAACCCCATTTTTCCAAAATACTCATTGTTTCCAAATCTATCAATTTATTGCAACATATAAGGAAATCATCAGGCATAATCGGAATAAACTAAGGAGAATCAATCATTGTAAGTTGTTTTTGAGCATTATTGAATTTTTTTATTTTACATAGAAATTGTGTTTTAGGGTAGTAAAATGTAGTTTTTTTTGTTCTTGCAACGTTTGAAGTTAATACGGAAGTGTTAGCCATGTCTTTTTGATGATCAATATGTGTTTTTTGGTCCCCATTGGGCATCAGCTTCGCTATTGACATACCTGTTAAGTTTCAGGTTGTAGCGGAAGTGTATTTCTGGTTTTGTTCTTGACTAAAACCGGAAGTATACTTCCGATTATGCATCAGGCATTTTTTTTCCTATTTTTTTGTACAAGAGTGTTATTGTTTAATACTTTATTAGTTTATTCTACATGTATTATGGTTGAGAGACAATCTAGATTGCGACACAGAAGACTTTCACAGCATACTTCCATGCATAGGGAAAGGACTCAGTCTTTTCAGGCTCCTAGGAAGGCTGTGCCGGATGTGCCCATTGTCGATGGTGTTTCTACTTTCACTCCATCGACCCGCAGGAGAGAGTCTCCTGTGCATCCATCTCCTTCATCCTCCCGTAAAACGTATATCATCACTGTAGGTATCCGGACCAAGAGAGACATTTGGATCCCACCCACAGACTACACCATATTCAGTCCATACCTCTCTACCTCCTTCCTCCCACGGACGCCCTATGGTCTTTGAGACAGGAGAGTCTTCTTTATCCCAACCAACACCTGCTCCCGCCCAGCCTACACTGGTTCCCACCCAACATACACTAGAGGCCACCCAATCTGCACCAGTGGCCCATCCACAACCTGCATCAGAAGCCCATCCATAGCCTGCACCAGAGGCAGCACTAGAGGAAACACCAGAGGCGGCACCAGAGGCGCCTCGGGCCTTTGGAAGAGGATTTTATGATTTTTCATTACTACTGTTGTATCCGGACCATGTTTCCAGACACTTATGAGATGAAAAGGTGAATGTTTCATTTAACAATTGTTACGTATTATGTTACCTTTTTTATGCTAAGTATTATGTTCACTTTGCTAAGTATTGTATTCATTTTGCTAAGTATTGTATTCATTTATCTGTGCATGTAGGACCATGATCCACTGAAGATAATTAACCATTCTAGGGAGATCATTCGCCCGGTACCACCCGCCGAGCCATGGTTCCGAGAGTTGCTGCACATCACAGGGCTGTGTGATTTGGTCTTATATAGATATATTACCGTTAATCATGGTATGATTAATGATTTTGTTGAGAGATGGCATCACAAGACATCGTCATTCCACCTACCACATGGTGAGATGACAATCACATTGGGCGATGTCGGATGTCTGTTGCACCTTCCGATTAGAGGGAGGTTTTTAGCTCATGAGAGGTGCACCAGAGAGGAGGAGTTAGATATGTTGGTGGAGTACTTAGGAGTTACTCCAGAGGGTGCTATGGATGAGATCGACAAAACCCGTGGGTGTCATGTCAAATTTAGTTACTTGCAGAAGGTGTTCATAGCTGAGCTAGGGCGTGCACGACAGTCTGCTGGTGACGATCGGCAGGTAGCCCAGCACAAAGCACGTGCTATGAAGGCATATCTTTTGTATCTGGTTGGCACGCAGATTTTTATGGACACTAGTGCCACTTACACTGATATCATGTACATGCAGTTCTTTAACGATTTTCAGCGGATCATTGAGTGGAACTGGGGGCAGTTTGTTTGGTGTATTTGTACCATAAGCTGTTCGAAGGTGCTAAGTGGAATATAAAGTAGATACCCGACAACATCACGCTTTTTACGGTAACATTTCTTATTCTTATGTTATTTTTGTCTTGTTATATAAATTACTTTCATGTCGTTACTTACTAATGGCTGTAACATTTCAGGCCTGGATTCTACACCACTTCCCTCATATATCTGGATGGTCACTTGAGCCTATATATACTGAGGTTCAACCACGTGCCACTTTATTCAACCCACTCCAAGGGAACCAGCCGAAAAAGCCATTCACAGTGTATATAGACCGCTTGGCCTATGAGGATATATGCTTCCATGCATACGAGGCTCACCGTGAGACGGTTCCCTTTGACGATATTGTGTTGTTCACTGGATGATTGGTATGTGGGATGCGCATGATGACTGCTTATTTGCCTGAGCGCATGATGCAGTAGTTCAGATACATGCAACACATTCCCAGACCACCCTCCGAGTGTTCCCCTCCCATGGTGAAACGCAGGGATATGAATGACATATTTGATGATTATCTTAACCATCTCGTGTTGGATGAGGCCCAGAGTATCATAGCAGCAAAAGATTGGAGCTATGAGGATGAATATATGTTATGGTTCTTCAAGGTGTCACATTCATATCTGGTACATGAGGCTCCAGGTAACCCACTTAGACCAGCATATGCATAGATTCTAGAGGAGGAACAAGCACAAGCCGGTCATGCCACTGATGTGTTGCCTAGGTGTCGTCATATCATGCAGATCACGCAGGCGGGTATTGATAGGGGTTTATTTCCTAATGGCTCTGATGTTAGAGGTGTTCTAGATGCCATCATGGTGGAGGCTGGGGAGGCTGTGTGTTACAGACGACAACGGAGGAATGTGGCGAATATCACATGATGACTCATTATCTGTCATACTCAGTACTCTGATAGTTTTAGTTGCATTTTGTTTATAGTACTATTATGTTTTTCATATTTTGGATTATTTGTATGTATTTTGGATTATGTTTATAGTACTATCCGCCATACTCATATTTTGGAATATAATATTTATGAGTATTTGTACGTATTTTGTGATTACTTTGTATTTAATCGACATCGTATTTTACTACATATTTATGCACCAAAACCTGCTGAAAAACATGGTATGAACTCTCTGTACAGGAACCAGAAAGACATATCTGATTTCAAACCGTAGTTGTATTTCCGACTTCATAGTTGTTTTTTCAAAATATAAGGTGCGTCCCAGAAATACATTTCCAAAAGACATTTTTAGTTTTACATAGGATATTTTCCCCCTATATAGGGTGCCATAAGAAATTCTCTTTTAAGTTTTATAATCTGTTTTTTTACTTGCTGTTATTTTTTTTGCAAATTCCCTCTAGCCCTTACTTTAGATATTGATTCCCTTGTAAGAAATCAGTGTATAGTTTTTTTAACAAATTAGTTTTTATTTTATTTTATTAAGTTTAATTATTTTTTTATAAGATGTAAAAATCCCAAAAATATTAGTTTTTATGTTTGTTTAGAAATTAGTTTTTTTTTAATTATTATTATTATTGTATCATTAAAGTGCATTTCATTAAAAAAATCACAAAAAATGTTTTATTTCATTCACTATTGTGTTAGGTTTGTTTATCTATGATGTTTTATTTCTCTTTGATATTTATGTTGAATTTAATTCCTTGTCCTCCCTTTGTGCTACTCTCTTGACAAGTGATGATGTTTTGATTTACATTGACGAATGTTTGTGATCTTGATGACTTTTTTCCATGAGCTCGAAGTTTGCTCACTTTGCATACGTTGATATATACTTCCTCCGTTCCATATTATAAGAGAAAAAAACAAAAACACAT